TTCAATATGATGAAATTTTCAATCTAACTTCAGCAAAAATTATCTTTATTTTCCATTATTTTCTTTGGTCACACTATCAGGAATAAACAAGGTTAAGGCCCATGCCATGCACGATAAGACTAATTTTTTAAGAAAATTAATTATATCCAACAAATAAAATTTGATTAAACATACACATCAAATATATAGAAATTATAATGTCATAATCTATATTAATAGACAAAGCAAAAAAATTTAAACAAAAATGGATTTTTTGGGCTGCCCAAACCCGAGAATTTTTTTTAGGCAGTGTTTGGTTTGATCAGGTCTAGTGGCCATATTAGTAATACTTATTTAAAAATGTCTTTTTTAATAAACATCAAAAATTAATCAAACAACAGACTAAAATCTCCACTAAAACTATCAGCAAAAGTGCACACCACACACACACCCACCCACACACACACACACTAATTTTAAATAATATATCACCTTTTATATCATAAAAATCATTTCAATAACAATCAATAATTGGGCAACACTAATCTATATAATTACATTTTCTGTTTATGGATTGATGCTCTACATATACGATATTGTCATTCTTTGTTGTTATAACAAATGTGTTTGAAGCTATCCAATAATTGTAATTTTATTATTTTGTTTATTGTCTTAAAAGTTTAATTTTAAATATATATATATATATATATATGTATATATATGTATATGTATATATATGTATATGTATATATATGTATATGTATGTATATATATACATATATATATATAAAAGAATATTTATTTGTCATAAAAATTATATAAAAGATATGAAAAGATACTATTATAGAATCAAATATTAACACAAAAAATAAAAATAAAAAAAATAAATAAAAGAAGGTTAATAAGGGAAGGGGAGTTTTGGAGGGAAAAAACAGAACCACGATATGACACGTGTCACTCCCGATGTCTATTTTAGTATTAAGTTACTAGTATAGTGCCCGTGCAATTGCACAGTATAATACGTTCATATGTATAATATACTTATCAAAGCAATTTTTTAATATTAACGATGAAGTGGAAATCAAAAGTTATGCTCTAACATATACAACTCCTAGAAATATCATACCCAATGTGGGTAGCGGAAAAAAGGGGATTTGATGTCATACCCGCCAATTATACCCAGTGTGGGTAGTGGGTAAGCGGTGGATTTGATGTCATACCCGCCTTACCCGCCAACTCGCCCAGTTACCTACCTACTTATTATTACCACTAAGTTTTTATGTAATTCTTTTTGTACTTGTAATGATGAAGGACTACTTTTATACAAATTAATTGCTTACTTGTATAATATATTATTAAATTATGTATCTGCAACAATTTAGAGATAGCATAATGACATGTTCTATAGTATATATGGAGAATACATTAGTCCAAATATATATGTATGATTTATTTTAAATATGTGGTTAGTTAATATGTATAAGTGTATAAATAATTATGAATATTTGATTAAATTCTACGAAATATTACATCAAAGCTTCATTTGGCTACATTCCATTATATCTAAGTAAGATATTACATAATAAAAAATATAAGTTTGAAATTTTCACAGCTCTTACTTAAATTACATCATCATGAGATCAATTAGGGATTATTAGGCCCTGTTCACTTCACCTTACAAAAATAATATTCAATAAAATTAATTTCAATTCAGTAAAAATAATTTCATTTCAGCAAAAAAAAATTCAGTTCAGTAAAAATAAGTTCAATTCAGTAAAAATAATTTCAGTTCAGTAAAAATCAGTAACTTTAAAGAAAAAATGCAATGGACAATCAGTAAAAATAATTTCAGTTCGGCAAAAATAATTTCAGTTCAGTAATATTAATTTCAATTCAGTAAAAATAATTTCAGTTCCGCAAAAATTAGGTGAAGTGAACGGGGTCTTAGTAAGACTAAAAAGATTTGTTAGATTGCATGTTAATATAATGTAATAAACTTTGGAACTACCATAAATAATATTATGTAATTAGGCGGAAAAATTTTCATTATGAGAGCGACACGTGTCAAGTTTTAGGTTGAGCGTCTTCTGTTTTAGCATAATTATTATAGATAGATTGATTGATGATTATTTCATCATTTATTATAGAAAAAACAACTCCATTTTTCAAATAAATAAATAAATAAATAAATAAATAACTCCATGATTAATTTACAGCTAATATTTCTTTTTTGTTTTTTTTAATGTTTTTGGATAGAAAATTACAGCTAACATGAATGCATACATAATTGTATGTATTCTATTACTTTGAACCATGCCTTATTTTTAGGACTATAACAAAGACAAAATAGGTAGTTCACATTTGAATCTTAGTCAATCAATACCCCCTTAAATAGGTCTACCACCACTGGAATCTTAACTCAAAACTTCTACTTTCTCTCTCCTCTGATTCCTCTATTCTTTCTAATTCTTCTGCGAATCATTTCCTTAGGTACTCTTTCTCCTACTCTTTTCCAAATTTTCTCTCTTCTTTCTTTTTTTATCACGTTATTTTGATTTTACTTTGATATCATCTCTGTTTTTTTCTGATTAAGTTAATGATTTGTTTTTTGTGGCGGATTTGTTTAAACAATTAATTTATTTGACACTAATTTTGTTTTATTTTATTGTATAATTACAAAGTAGTTGATTGCAAATTTGTTCAGACTTTTTCAATTAGTGTCAAATTTGTTTGCGAATTTTTTTTTTTTTTTGACAATAGCATGTTTGCGAATTTAATTTGAGTTAATTAATCATGTTTTGGATTAGATTTTTAGGTGTTTTTGAATTGTTTAAGCTTGATTGTGCCTGAATTTAGGTTGAAAAGTAGTCGTTGAGTATAGTGTGAGATTTTCTAAAGACTTCAATTAATATTTTAATCATAGTCAGGTTTTTTTTTCTTGTGTGATGATGTTACAGTTTCCATGTGACATATTTTAATTTTATTTACTCTTTCCGTCCCTTTAAAATTGCTCCACTGATGCGTTTAAACTGTAAATATAAAGACTTCCATTAATTTTAATCATAGTCAGGTTTTTTTTTTTCTTGTGTGATGATGTTACAGTTTCCATGTGACATATTTTAATTTTATTTACTCTTTCCGTCCCTTTAAAATTACTCCACTGATGCGTTTAAACTGTAAATATTTTCATTTCTGTATTTAAATATTATAAACAAGTGATATTAGAAAATATATATATATACATCCTGATCTATTAAAAGAAAATGTTATTGTAAATTGTTACTCCCTTGTTTCCTTTTTGTTTGCACCATGGGCCATTTTTTGTGAGAGTTTTTTGGGTTAAATGGTGCAAATAATGAGAGACGAAGAGAGTATTAAAGAAGATTTATTGTAATATTGTATTGTATATTATTAAATTTAGGTGCAACATCAAAGTCAGAGGTAAAATATTACATGTATTAAGAAACTGAAGAAATAACATTATTATTTTAATGTTCTGAGTTGATTAAGAGTCAACGTTGTAATCGTAAAGATTGCGTGTATGCTTTGGTAAGTGGATACGTAATGATTGGTGGTCATCTCTTCTTTGCTTGTAGTTTAAGATTTACCATGACCTTTGTGTTGTCGTCGTCGTGGTAGGTGTAAAATCTTAGCACGGTATAACATTGTAGGACATTTATCCTCGTATTTTTTGTTGGGGTGGAGGCTTGGACGGATGTTCAGCAATTCTTCTATGTGGCATCTGGGCCCACGGAGCCAAACACCCACCAGCGCATGCACTCATACTATTGAGTTTAAATACACAACTCGGCGTGCTTTATAATCCCGGGTGTAAGATTTTAATTCCTGGTTTTAACAAAGGGGGTTAGTGGGTTTTCATTGAGCTAATTGATTGTTAAAAAATAGCCACTTGTTACATGAGTGATAGCTTTTGTACCTTTTGTATTATGCACAAGGTGTTTATCTTCTTAGTATATAGAATTAAATTAAGGATATTTTTTATTTTAACACCTGATAAAAACCTGAAAATAGTTTATAACACCCCCAAAAAAAAACTTTTATTTTAACACCTGATAAATATTACGAAAATGGTTTTTTACCACCACTTAACGGTTTCCGTCCAAAAATTCCGTTAAGTGGGGTCCACAGTGACACGTGTCACCATTTTACTTGTTTTCAAAAAATAAAAATAAAAACAAAAACAAAATAGATTTTTACTTTTTTTAAAAAAAAAAACTCAAACAACCAGAAGGCAGCCACCAACGGTGGCCCTTCTCCCCGGCCAACTCCCGAACCACCCTCTCCCAGCCCCTCGTCACCGGGTTCCGCCACCGAACCTTCCTTAACACCGGAAATCGACGTACCCTCGCTTCCCGCAGCAAAAATTCGAGAACCCCCACCAAAAATCGTGCCCAGAAATGGCGACGAATTTCAGGGACGGTGGTTTTGCGGCTGAGCAACCTTCCTTCCCCAAAAAAGCCTGCGAATTTGGCCATTAATGGCTGAAATCGACCGGTTTAGGGGCTAAGTGGCCTTAATCGGCCGATTTCGCCCATCAATGGCCGAATTCGTGGCCGAATCAACGGCCAAAAATTCGTGGCTGGTGATGGCGGTGGTCGGGCTAGGGTGGTTTAGGGCTCCGGGAAAAGGGTGGGGATGGGTTTAGGTCGGCCGGTGAGGGAGGGGGAGGTGGTGCGCCGGTCGTTGCGTCGCCGCCTGTGGGTCAAGCCGAAGAAGAAGGTGGCAGTGGTGGGGCAACGGTGGGGCTAGGGTGGCTGGGTAGTTTTAGGTTTTTTTTTTATTTTTTTATTTTTTATTTTTTGGCCAATAATAAAGCAACACGTGGCTCATGAACCCACTTTAACGGATTGCTAAACGGAATCAGTTAAATGGTGGTAAAAACCATTTTTATATTTTTTGCCAGGTGTTAAAGTAAAAGTTTTTTTTTTGTGGGTTGTCAAAAACCATTTTCAGGTTTTTGTCAGGTGTTAAAATAAAAAATATTCTTAAATTAATGTGGATCTTGGTAGTAGAATTAGTACAACTATTTGATCCATTCAAGAATTCATCCTATTTCATGAATTAAAATTTAGTGAAATGAACTTCCTTAAACTTTAATAATATCTGTGGACCTTATATATGGCACACAATTCACTATCATGCTGACAGTATGCTGACTGCTGTGAGCAACTATGTTATCATTGTTTTCAATGCTATCTTTCTGAGAAATATTGGATTTGGGACCAAATTGTTCTTGATTTGTGAAATTTCTTAGTTGGCTAGTGGGTGGACAGTGGACTTGCATATGATAAGATAATAAGCTGACACTATTTATGTACCAAACAATCTTAAACTTTTCTACAAACATAACTTCTTTAAGGCCTTGCATAATAGAAGGCAGTCGTCTGCTGTTTGAGAGAAACATAAGGGTGCTCTTCTAGTTATATAGGTGTGTTCTTCTGTGAATGTTCGACTTTATGTTTTTTTCCTGGTAATTCTGTTAATTTGATGAGTCATGTTATGGATGTTTTTCTGACCCTATCCTTTTGGGATTAAGACTTTGTTTTGCATTTGTGTTTCGTTAGCTTATACTAAGTACTTCGTAAGTTAACATATTTCCTGTTCATTAGAATTCTGAAGCATTTTGCATCTGACAGTTCACAAGTGGCATTGTAAGAAATCCACCAGTAAGAGGGAGAGAGAGTATACCTGGTACCGAGAATGATTGAGACAGGAGAAGATTCTATTGTGAAGGATGGAACTCTTGACATTCATGGAAATCCAGCTGACAAGAAGAAAACTGGGAACTGGAGGGCTTGCTTTTTTATCCTTGGTATGACATTCATTCTGATTAGAATTTAACTTTATTTTCTCTAATCTGACGACAATGTACCATTGACTTACTGAATTTGACATCGTGATTTTTGTCAGGAAATGAATGTTGTGAAAGGCTGGCATACTATGGAATGAGTACTAATCTTGTAAACTATTTCATCGACCGTATGCATCAAGGAAATGCTACTGCAGCAGAGAATGTCAGTAATTGGTCAGGGACATGCTACATCATGCCTCTTCTTGGAGCCTTTTTAGCTGATGCCTACTTGGGAAGATATTGGGTTATTGCAATCTTTTCGATGATTTATGTTATTGTAAGTTTGCTATAGTCTTCTAGTCTTCTCTTGTTTTATGTGTGACTGCTTAATGCCTTATCCGCAACAATTTTGTATACCATACACTGTGACTTCTTAGTTGAAGGCGTGATGTAAAGTCGTGATTATTTTTGTTGGTATATGTAAGTTTTATGTTTTAAAATTGTTATACTAGTATTTTTTTCCCTCTAATCTTGGGTTACTGGAAAATTTTGCTGAACTATACACATGATGTTAAACTTTTCTTATGGTGTGGGACACCCTTTTAATATTAAACTACTCTAGTTTCTTACAGATGATTTGTATGATGTAGGGAATGGCTCTGTTGACGGTCTCTGCTTCCGTGAATGCACTGAAGGATATGGCGGCGTTTGCATTTGTAGCTCTATACTTAATTGCCCTTGGTACTGGTGGAATCAAGCCGTGTGTCTCTTCCTTTGGTGCGGATCAATTTGATGAAACTGATGAGAAAGAAAGGGTGAAAAAAAGCTCCTTCTTCAACTGGTTTTACTTCTCGATCAATGTGGGTGCCCTTATTGCTTCCTCAGTCTTGGTTTGGGTCCAAACCAATGTTGGTTGGGGATGGGGCTTTGGTATCCCAGCTGCTGCTATGGCCGTTGCTGTCGTGTCCTTTTTCTCGGGTTCCAGATTTTATCGATTTCAGAAGCCAGGAGGAAGTCCTCTAACAAGGATTGCTCAGGTTTTGATCGCAACCTTCAGAAAAATTAAGGTGAAAGTTCCCGAGGATAAATCCATCCTGTATGAGACACCTGATAACGCATCCAATATTATCGGAAGCCGAAAGCTTGAACATACAGATAAACTTAGGTATGTTTATATAGAACTATATTTGCTTAATCCTTCTGTTCCACACTTTTTGATGGGAAAACTGGTGATTCTCTATTTCTTTTTGTAGACTTGTTTATATGTTGGGTTTCTTCATGATCTCGTCTACTTTTATATTTTACATCTTACATCTCTGCTATACTATTTTGTACCGCTTCTTATGTGAAATGTTTATGTTTCCATTTCAGGTGTTTTGATAAAGCTGCCGTACCAACTGAAACTGATGACATCAAGGGAACTCCAAGCTCATGGAGACTCTGCACTGTTACCCAAGTTGAAGAACTTAAAGCCATCATCAGAATACTTCCGATTTGGGCCACGGGAATTGTTTTTTCTGCAGTATACAGCCAAATGAGCACCATGTTTGTATTACAAGGCAATACCATGGACCAGCGCCTTGGCCCAAAACTCAAGATATCAGCAGCCTCTCTCTCAGTATTCGATACCCTGAGTGTCATCTTTTGGATCCCTGTCTATGACAAGCTCATCATCCCATTTGCTAAGAAGTTCACTGGAAATCCACGCGGTTTCACTCAGCTTCAGAGAATGGGAATTGGCCTGGTAATATCCATATTTGCTATGATTACTGCAGGAATTGTGGAGGTTGTTAGGCTGAACATTGTGAAGGAACACAACTACTACGATAGGAAAACAATTCCTATCTCTATCTTCTGGCAAATCCCACCTTATTTCCTCATTGGCTGTGCAGAAGTATTTACATTTGTAGGTCAAATAGAGTTCTTCTATGATCAGGCACCTGATGCGATGAGAAGTTTATGTTCTGCTCTGTCTCTTACAACCAATGCTTTGGGGTACTACCTAAGCTCTTTGCTCATTACGATTGTGACTCATGTGACTACGAAGCATGGGAAGTTAGGGTGGATCCCTGATAATCTCAACAGAGGTCACCTGGACTATTTCTTCTGGCTGTTGATGATCCTTAGTATTCTCAACTTCTGTGCTTATCTGTGGATTTCAAAGCAATACACATACAAGAAGGCGGCTGGGCTTGCAAAGTAATCTTCAAACAGAGTATTACTTTCTTACATACAAAGGTCCTTTAACTGCTTGTAAATAGTAAAGGCGTGGTAAACATTAAACTTTAATTTTAGTTTGAATGGTTTGATGCTTATTGATCCATATGTTCCAGAGTTATTTATTATAGTTGAATGAAAGCAAATTCTTTAAGAAAGGAATGTAGTGTGAAATTTTTAGAGAAGATCAATAAGATTAATGTAGTCTCTATCTCCTAGATTGATTATCCGTATCTCACCCTTTTACTTTACGTATCTTTTTCCTCATATCGCATCTTTTCCTCAGTTTTGGTTTGGGTCCAAACCAATCTTTTGGATCGATAAGGAGTTGCCTCTAATCGTTTTGGAGTTTACTCCAGAATGGAAAATAGTTAATGTGCGATAAAGTAAAAAATAAGGGTGTTGATATTGTCTAAGGTAAAAAAAAAAAACCACTTTTAAGACAAATTATCTACCCATTGCCCGTAATTTTTGAGAATCAAAATATGTCAAACTTATTAATTTAATAAAATACTTTATAATATTTTGTTGCCTATAATATTAGTAGCTATATATTCTAATTAAAATCTTATTAATTTAACTCCAATACGGTTGATACATCTTCAAGGAGTGCTTCACGAATTTGATACTGTGTACTAAACATAACATGCACATCTTCTTCTATCACTGTATGATTATCCATAATCTGCCAAAGAAATAGGTAAATAATTAAGATGCAATATTTAAATCCCTTTGTCTACTTTAACAAGTTTTTGAAACCAATTCTTAAGAATGTCCAACAACTAGATTTTTAGAGTTTGAGAATTGAAGTATCCCACGTATACAGACATAGTGCTATTTTTTATAAATTATAAAAATAAAAATAAAAAAAGAAAAATCATTAATCTTTATTTTCTTACATCTAAAAAGTAAATATGAAATTTGTCTAATGGCAAATCATATCATATCATATAACTAATATATAAAGCTGGTCTCGCAGACAGACCACGATATAGCGACACTTTACATTCCAGTTTTTTCGCCAAGTGTCGCGCCACGTAGGCGAAAAATAGATATTATTGTGACACGTATGATACTAAGTAAGCGATTATTGGATAGATTTTATTTTAAGATAAAATTGTTGTATAGAGTTTTATTATTGATAAAATTCTAATGTTTCATATTTACAAAATTAATCATAACTTTTAATAAATATCCTATAACTATGTTCTATTTCCATCATCAAATTCGTTTTAAAAAATTCTTTAAAATAAGATCCATTTATAATATATATTTAATCACAAACTTTTATACATAACTGGCTAAACCGTGTCACCAACTATTACAAAAGTTACTTCGTTAGTGCTATAAGAGTTACTTGGTCAGGTTATAGTGGTTACTCAATTGGTGTTATAAAATAGGGGTTACTTAGTCAATGTTAGAGGTTACTCAATTAGTATTACAGGGGTTACTCGGTCAGTTTTATAGCCGCATACAAAATGCGTTTTTATTTAACTTATTTAAGAAAATGTTTAAGAATAAATAAAATTAAGTTTTAATTGGTAAAAAATAATTTTAATTTGGTGAAAATACTTTTAGTTCAATGAAAATAATTTAAGTTCAATAAATATAATTTCAAGTTAATAATAACATAAAAGTACACTATTATATAAAATGTAAGCTGATTAGGGGATTTTTATCCACCAATCACCGTCTGACAAGTGGACCAACCAGGTTCCGCCACGTGTCCTTCACGTAGGCCAATAGGAGCCTGCCACGTGTCAATCACAGATACGTCCTCTACGGACCAATTGAGACACGCCACGTGTCCAC